CTTATGTCTCCTCTGCCATCTTCAGGCTCCACTTSCTTGCTTCCTTTCTTTCTTTTTTTATTATTATTTTTGTACTGGGGATTGAACCCTGGGGTGCTTAACCACTGAGCCTTTCATTTTATTTTTTATTTAGAGACAAGGTCTCAATAAGTCATACTTATTGCTCCATGTGGACTGATTTTTACCATTCTATTACATATCATTTACTGTGGTTTTCTGTTCTTTGTGTTAACTATTTTTGTTTGTATGGATCTAAAATAAAATTTTCCCTTATTTTTCTGTGCTTTACAGGGTTTTTTATTTTTACTCTTTAAATGGTTTGGCTTTGTTTTAACAAATAYACTTGACAGTAGTACTGTTAGTTTATTTTATCCTCCTAAAAAATGCAAGGAATTTAAATGCCTTTTTTAACTCGTGATTTGAGTTCTTCTTTAATTGTTGTTTTCCAGTATTTTGGTTCTATTTTATTGATTTTTTTCTATTTGATATCAAAGTTATTTCAGTAGGTCATTGACTTCTTGTATTAAACCACAATTTTATGTGTTTATTTGCTTTTCTTTCCTTCTTGCATTCAGGTCCTTTGTTTTCTAGTCATTATCTTTTAGAATTTATCATGCTTCCTATTTCTGCAGAAAAATTGCTCTCCTCAGTTCAAGAAGAATTTCAGCCAGAGTCCTTTTTAAATTGCCTTTTCACCATTTGCCTTTCTGGAATTTCTAATCATTTTATTTTGAATTGTCTATTGATTTCTCCATCTCTCTTATACTATTCTATGGTTTTTTCCTAGTTATGTTTTGCATTCTGAAAAAAATTTTCACATACTTCTTGCATTTTATTATTTTAGCTCATTTGGACCTACTTTTGTTTAGTCTGTCCATTGAATTTTTTGAAGAATTTTCTTCAGGTAAATTTATTATTTTAGAATTTTTATTTTTATTCATTATTAAGATCATTTTGATGCATTATAATTGTATATATAGTGCCATTTGTTGTTACATATTCATTATTCATGTATACAACATAATTTGTTCAGTTTTATTTCCTAGTACTTCCCTTTTCTTTTCACTTTGCCCTGTGATGAAAGTAAAAGGGAGTTCATTAGAGCTGGAATTACAAGTGTGTACCACTGTACCCAGTTAGTCCATTGAATTTTTAATTTCATTCCATTCACTATTTGTAGTTCAAGCAGGTTTTTTTTGTTGTTTTTAATATATACTTTTTTCTCTTTTATGGTATAATTTTACTTTTTCATGTTTTTATTGAATTTTTATGTCTATATTTAGAACATGCTTTACATCATTTTTATAAAACTTACATTTCATTATCTTGTATTAATCTGGCTGTTTGTTGTCTCTGATTATTTCTTCATTTTATCTTGTTCTTCATAATTCAGTTGGATGAAGTCATGAGTATTAGACTTTTATTGCTAGATAGCTGGTTTGGTCTAGGCATGTCAATATTTCTGTACAGTTTCATCAAGTGTCCATGTTCCTGTTTCCCTAGTGCTCCAGGGTTGTTCTCAAGCAAAGGCAATTTTTATGTAAAATTTTTGGCCTAGAATTTCTGTTAGAAAAACTTCAAATCTACCTGAAAGCAGACAATTATGTAGGAATCTACAGAGGTGTTTTTGGTTCCCTTATCCCTCTATTTTTCACCTTTCCCCCACCTCCTCCTTCACCATCCTACACCCCAGCTGACACCGAGAAGCTTTCCTTTTTTCCCCTCCAATTTTATAACTGAAAAAATTTCCATGTCCACTGTTTTACTTAGAGTCTTACTCTCTTTTTACAGGCTTAAGGCTTTTCTCCGTTTTTCTTTAGGCTGATAAAATTGTAACACCTTGGAATACTGAGATTGACATCAAATGAATTAGGGACACAGCTACTATTAGGTTTGTAGTTTTCTTCTCATTTGTAGCTCTTAAGTCTTTTTCTTCCTCTTTATCTTGCTTTCTACTTCTTTTTCCCTACCTCCCTCCCTTTCTTTTTCCCTTCCTGCCTTCTTTTCTTCTATCTTTCCTCTTTCTATTTCTTTGTAGAAATATGTCTACACAAGATTGTTCTGTTGTGTTCAAATAGGTCATTTTTAGCACAAAGATTTCTCAAAATACCACCTAGTTAGAAATGAAAGTACCTTCCTGTATTTTAAAATATTTTTCTCCATGTTCATTCCTTATCTATTTTGATGAGCAATATATTACTAAAAATGTTAATACATCAGCTTAGATATCTAATCATTACAAAATATAAATAATAATTTTTTTAAATTTTTCTTAAGTGCCTTTTTTTAAAATGCAAGTTTCAGTTCATGTGCAACAACCACCACTTCAGTGGCATCCATTGGTAAAGATTGGATTCTGTTTTTTGCTTCAGGATTTTGTAGTCCCCACATTACAATGTGGAAGTTTTCTTTCCTCAAATCCTGTAGTACTTATTATACTTKATAGGAGTAGATTCTAACTTTCACAAAATTAAAGTTGTTTTATAACCCTTTATTTTCTTCATCAAATCTTTGGTTCGGCTTTTAAACTTACCTCTGTCTCATAGATCTCTGCCTGATCCACTCATAATTGAGCACATTATCCCTGTTCTGATGTTTCTAACATGAAAGAGACAATTTTGAGWTTTTATAATTGTTTTCTGCAGTTCTCCATTGAGACATTTTATATCTGGACATATTACCTCTCATTCATTTCCTGAGAATCAAGGTCATTTGTTTTATTTAATGAAAATGTACATGTCTTTTTTATTCTTACAAGACACCTTTAAACTTCCTCTTCTTTTTACTTTTTAGTATTAATTCTAATCACACTTGGAGATATATAATCATTTTTCCTCAGGAATTCCCAAATATAGGAATTACGCAAAGGTGTCCAAAGGACTCCTATATAGGTTTAATATTTGTAAATCTTGTGTATATTAGTTCTCACTCAGTGGAATTATAACTCAAGTTAGACTCTGATCTTGTATAATGTATAATTTGTTCCCTACCCAGAAGTAGGTAGTTGTCTTCTAAGTTGGTTTGACAAAACTAGAGTAAATACTGAAACCTTTCTAGTTAAAATTTTATTTACTGTCTATACTTGGCATGGCCAGTGGAAGATTATGGTATTTAATATTAGTTGTTCAACTTCTCCATACAAAAGCACATGTTTTAACTACTGCTCACTTTTGAAATAGCAGCAGTTGCTTTTTCAGACCTGTGATCATTGACCAGTTGTTGTAGAACATATTCTTTTTATATATGTTTCTATAAAGTTTCTTGGAGGTAGCAAGAGGAATAGAGTGGMCTGGTAAATCTCTTGTTTATTTAGTCATATTCATTATCACTTAAATAAGATTACTAGTTTATTGAGATTGTTTTGTAATTATGTTCTTAAATAATCCAGATTGGTTTAKTAAGTTTATTTTTGCATTTGGAATCCTTATCCAACTCATAGACTTCTTCAGCTGTACTGCTTGCTAACCCTATGTCCTAATAATTTCAGGTCCTAATTATTAACCCTACTCGATATAAAAATTTTAAGTTAGTGATTTACAAAATTTATGACCTTCTTTTCATTTATATTGGGAGATCTATCCTCCTCTTCCTTTTAGAGGAAAAATAGGGAACAATACTCTTATATTTTTATCTACCAGATTTTCTCAATTCTAAGATCATTGCTTTATTTTGCTTTTGGTACTGGGACTTGAATCTAGGAGTGCTTTATCACTGAACTACATCCCTAGTCCTTCTTATTTTAAAATTTTTTGGTAGGTCCTTTTTAAGTTTCTGAGGGTCTTGCTAAGTTGCAGATGCTGGCCTTGAACTTGTGATCTTTTTGCCTCAGCCTCCTGAGTTGCTGTTATACTGGAATTTCAGACTTGCACTACCACACCTAGCAGTTCATTGATGTTTCTTTTTTCTTTAATTTTTTTCTTTTTTGTATAGGATTTTAGGAAGCTGAATGATTTATGAATGTGTCTCTGTGAAACTTACAAATTATATTTTYACATTTAAATATAATTAGTTAAATAAGTATTCACATCTATTCTTAAGTATGTATTTAAATAAAATTTGTGTTTGATCAAGTAAAAATCAATGGATTTCCCCCATATTATCAGAATAACAAAAATAACATTTAAACAGTGAAAAGCTATGAAGTAATTGAGTAATAGAAAAGACTTGTATATTTACAATAAGTTTAGTATGTTGAAAAACTATTTGTTATCATAGAAGTTTTCATGGAAGTATGTACTTTACAAAATATTTAAAGAACTCAGAAAAGTTGAAGTGTACCACTGGTGGTTATAGATGAACCTGTTCTCTGTGCTTCTGACTGGACTGTGGGTGAAAGTTAGTGTGGCAGAATGGAGGAGAACTAACTATAGAGGTTTTGAATMATAACCATGCTTCATGTTAATTTTGTACAGATCTTATCACTCATAGAAAAGTATAATCTTGTTTTTGATTTATGAGTTAAGCTAGAATACATTGCAAACATAAAGGTAATTATAGAACAGAATGATCTCCTGAGTATTTTATAAACTTATTTTTTTAGATGCAGATCTAAAGATTGTAATAGGTGTTGCATTTTCTCTTGTTTTTAAACCTAATTTTCTTTTTGAAAAGASTGAAGAGGGGTGCCAAAGAATATGCTTCTTAATGATTCTTAAAATATATTCCTTTATGTTTAATTTCATAGAATACATTCAATTTCAAGCCACTATCTTGATTTTTCTCTGATGTTTTCTACATGCTACTAMAAATTCAAAGAGAACAAAATGTTTGATTATATATTCAAATGGTCTCTTTGTGTTATTTAAGAAAGTACCTTTGGAAATATTGGAGGCATATAGGTGACATCTTTTTAGTTTTACATGTGTTATTATTGTATTCATATCCTATGAGTGCAAGATAAAATAAACACCCAAGGCTGTTTTATCCTGCCTCTGTCTTCTCTGTTCTAAAATTACATTTATTTTTGACTAATATTTTTTCATATTTTATTTTTATTTTAGGCTAAAAATCTCATAGAGAGATTTTTCAATCAACAAGTAGAAGTTCTAGGCAGACGTTCAGATCCATTGCCTGAAATATACTACATTGAAGGTACTCTCCAAATGGTTTGGATCAATCGCTGCTTTCCAGGGTATGGAATGAATACTCTGAAGCATCCAAAATGTCCTGAATGTTGTGGTATGTAATGAACTATGATTTCATGTTGTATATTGATAAAAATTCACTTATTTCATTATGCCTAAGTGAATGTCTATCAGTTTTATTATTGTCAGCTGTATATTTTTTAAAATTATTCAAGGTAGTATGTTTGAGGAGGCTGTGTGAATCTAAGATGTAAAGGAAAAAAGCTGGCTTAATTTTAACCTTGGTATTACTATGACAGCAAAGGTTCAATGGCTTTAGGCAGTTATCTGGGAAGAAACAAAGATAATAGTTATAAGTTACTTACCCTAGATATAACCAAATGATATATCTTAGAAACTGTTATCAGTGAGTTTAATTTTGTGTAGTCTAGAGTAGGTAGGGAATTTTGTGGGTTTTTTTCCTTTTAGAAATAAATATTTGAATTATTTTATTATAATTTTTTTCTGACTTTTGATACTAGCACTAAAGGTTCTTAGTCACTCTCTGACATTCATCTGTCTTCATCTTAATTATAGAGGAATTCTATAAAAGTGGTTGCCTTTGTATTAAAAGAATTTGCATTTTTGTTATCAAGAATTGAATGGGTCAGTTAATTTCTAGTCTTAAATGCTTCCTATTATTAATATTGCTAAGTCAGTACTTTTTTTCATCTTTTTAAATTTTTTCTCCTGTTTATCCAAGTTAGATTAAAAATCTTTTCATATAATRGAGCACCAAGTGTTCTTTTTACTTTTGTTTGGTTAGATTTTGCTTTATTACTTTTTTCTTCTATTGTTTTTGTTTAACTATATGGAATTTGACAAATTGTATTAAAATTGTTTTAGAAAATACAATACAAATTTAATAAATAAATTACTTCCAGATGGAAACTTTGTAACTATTTTGACAATAGTGGTATTGTGTATCAGTGTAGCACAGATAAGGATAAAGAAAAGGCTAAAAATAACAAGGAATGAAAGTGGAACATAGTAGTTTAGCTCTCTATTTATATGCATTTCTATTTGTTTTCAGTAAAGACTTTAATGCTAATTTAAAATTATTAAAATATTTACATCTCGAGGAATTTTGATTTTTTTAAATTTTATTTTATTTCTACATTATTTTGTTGGTACATTACAGCTTTACATAATGGTRTGACTTGTTGTTATGTATTGATACATACACACAGTATAATAATATAGTTTGGCCAGTATCACTCCTGAGCACTTCCTCACTTCCTCTTCTCCTCCCTTACCCCCTTTCCTCTATTATACTATCATGTATAACTAAAATTTAAGAATCTATAAAATATTAAGAAATTATTAAAACATACRGAAAAAAGATAATCCCAGAGAATGGTAAAAAAAATCATAATGGATTTGACTCCCCMAAAATTAGTACCCATAACATATTAAGAATATTTTTAAAAACACAAAACCAAAATAAAGGGCAAACAATTTGAATAAGTACTTCACAAAAGACTAATTCCAAATGACCAAAGAATATCTGAAAATAAGAATTTATGTTTAACTTTATTTTAAGCAGGTACAATGGAAGAGGGCAAATAAGGGTGAAAAATGGATCATGCTAGGAGTTCAAATGGGGAAAAACCACTCTGGAGAGTAACTAGGTTGAGGTTAGTGCTTCATTAATTAGATTGTCAAGAAAGGCTTCTCTCAAAAATTAAAGGAGCAGGAGATTATGCTGTATTTCTATTTTGTGTCCTATATGTGGTGTGTGTGTGTGTGTGTGTGTGTGTGTGTGTGTGTGTATCTGTGTGTATGTGTTTATACATTTTCATTTAAACTTACCTCAATTAAAATACTATATTTATAGAGGTCTTATAGATATTTTACTTAGCTTTATATTTAGGCACCTGATATTCTTAAACTTTCTATTTTTAAATAATTTTTAAATTGCAAAAGTTGTAAAGAGAATTCCTATATACCCTTCATTACACATATCTTGATTTTAACACCTTGATAACATTATTATTATTATTATTATTATTATTATTAAATTAGGGTATTAACATTAATATAGTACAACTGATTAGACTGTAGAAATTATTCATATTTTGCCAGTATTCCTAATAATGTCCTTTGAGGACCAAGATTCAATAAAAGATATGATATTTCCATTGCTTGCATCTCTATAATCAATTGGAGTTTCTGCTTTTCATGACCTTGACACAAGGAGACTTATTTTGTAAGATGTATCCCAATTTGAATCTATTTTTCTCGTGATTAGGTTCAAATTTATGCATTTTGGGCAATAATACTTCACAAATGATGATATATCCCTTTCCAAATGTCATTTCAAGAGATATGTGTTATTTAAACATCTTATTACTTATGATGATCACTTTGATGAGTTAAGGTCATATCTTCCAGTTTTTTTTTTTATTTTTATCCCTTCTTAAAAATTAATTTCTCATTGGGAAACTCTTTGAGATATAAAAACATATGCATATTCATCACACTTTGCCCACTAATTTTAGCATCCAGTGACATTTCCTTCTTATGATAATTGTTTATGTTTTATTTGCCCTAATGGTAATTATTCGTCCATTTTCCATCACTGTCACAAAATACCTGAGATAATCAACTGATAAAGAGGAAAGGTTTATTCTGGCTCACAGTTTTGGAGGTGTCACTCCATAGTTGGTTGGCTTTAGTGRTGTGTAGTACATTGTGTCAAGAGCTCAGGGCAGAAGAGGCCTATTCACTTCATAGATATTAAAAAGCCTTAGAGACAGAAAGGGGCCAGTATCCCAATGTATCCTGAAAGGACATACTTCAAATGACCTAAATATCTCTCACTAGCCCTACTTCTCAAAAGTTCCACCATCTCCCAGCAGCACCACAGACTGGGGACCAGTCTTTGAGCACATGAACCTTTGAGAAGTACTGCTGATCCAAGTATAGCAACCATTTTTTTATGTTCATCATTACATGTTTATTGAATGTAATTCTCTAAGGGACAGCTATCTTCTCTCTAGTTTATTTTTATTTATCAATATAAGCTTATGAATGTATTCTTTTGTTGTAATCCATTGCTATAATTATTTATTATATTATTCAAATTATCCAAGTTTTRCCACTGCACATTCCCTGAAGTGAGATTGTATATTTACTCAGTGTGCTTTTATTTCTTGATCACTTTCTTATTTTATGGCACTGTATGATGTTCCAGGTCTGTATTCTAATTATCCTGCCCAAACCCTTTCCTCAGCTGTATCTCAAGGAGCGCTGSTCCTTTTTTACTCTTGGGAAGGAAAACATTAAATATACATTTTTAGTTTGTTTTTTAAATTAGAGCTTTGCAGTTATACATAGAGGTTAAGGTCATGCCAAAGAAATATACCATTTTAATCAAGTGTAAAATTCATAGGTATAAAGTACATTCATAAAATTGTGTACCCATCATCACCATCAATTTAAGAATGTTCTCACATCCCAGAAACAAACTCTGATTGAGTTAAATAGTAACTAGATTCACTGTTTTCTCACCTACTGCTAATAGTTATTCTACTTTCTGTCTCTTTCAATTTCTTACTCTAGGTAACTGATAAATGGAATCTTGTAGTCCTATGAATCTGGCTTGTTTCAGTTAAAATACTATCAGGGTTCATCCATGTGGTAGAATGCATTTGAAATGAATTTCTTTTAAGATTGAACATTTATATGCCACAGTTTGTTTATCCATTCATCTGTTGATGATGGATATTTGAGTCATATCCATCTTTTGGCTCTTGTGAATAATTCTGTGATGAAATATGGTATACAGTTTTCTGTCCCAGTACCTAYTTGTATACATCTTTGCCTTGATATCTAAAAGTGAAGTTACTGGATCCAATGGTAGTTTTAGGAGAAGCCAAATTCTTCACAGTGGCTGCACCATTTTATATTATCATGAGTAATGCACAACAGTTCCAATTTTTTCCATCTCCTTACCAACACTTTGTTATTGTTTGTTTTTAAAATTATCCTAATGAATGGGATGTGTTATCCATTGTGATATTTATTTATATTTCCATAATGATTGATAAATACTGAGCAATCTTATATGTTCTTATTTTACATTTCTATATATCTTTTGGAGAAATTTCTATTGAAATTTTTTTCTGGTTTTAAATTAAGTGTCTTTACTTTTATTTTGAGTTCCATGAGTTTGACATAATGCCCTATCAAATATATCATTTGCAAATATTTTCTCTCATACTTTGTTTTTTCAACTCTCTTGATTATACCTTAAACACTGAAATTCACTAAGTTGTAAATTGTTGAAGTCCAGTGTATTTTTTCTTTTATTTCCTATTCTTTTGGTGTCACACCCAAGAAGTTAATGTCAAATCTAATGTCATGAAACCTTGTTTTTATGCCAGAAGTTTTAAAGCTTGAGCCTTAAAACTCTAGGTATGTTATTCATTTTGAGTTAATTTGTATGTCTGATACAGGTAAGGGTACAACATAACTAATTTGCATATGTATATCCAATTTATTGCAGCACCATTTGTTGAAAAGGTTACACTTTACCCATAGCCTCTTTGTTAAAAATCAGTTGAAATTATGTGAATGATTTGATTTGAGCTCTCTATTCTGTTACAGTGGTTTATATGTCCCCATTTGTACACTGTCTCAATCAATGTAGCATTGTACTAAATTYTTAAACCAGGATGCGGGAGTCATCTAACTTGTTCTTTGTTAAGATTATTCTGGCTATTTAGGGTCTCATGAGATTCCAAATGAATTTTTTAATTGATTTTTTTAAATGCAGGACAGCAAATGCACTACAATTCTTATTACACATATACAGCACAATTTTTCATATCTTTGTATRTAGAGTATGTTCATGCCAATTCCTGTCTTTATACATGTGCTTATTTTTTGCATTATAATTCTTATTACACATATATATCACAATTGTTCATATTTCTGTTTGTATATAAAGTAAGTTCACACCCAAATCGTGTATTCATACATGTTCTTTGGATAATGATGTCYATCACCTTTCACCATCCTTGCTAATTCCCTGCCCCATCCCTTTCCCTT